GGCAGTTGCCTTTTTAAAAATGGAGTTTTGCTTTACATGCATTTTAGATTGAATTGAGTGTCTCCCACTCCACTCACTCCAAAAAAAAGATACCCTATATCACGTGCTCAGTGGTTCTGTTTTCTCAGCTTCAGAAAACTCAAAATATTTGAGAAGCAACAACAAAAAAATAGTCAGACTGAAAAATCAGCTCGTCCAAGATCTTCAAGACAGACCTGCACAACCACTAATCTTTTCCTAAATGTCTGCAATAAAGAAGAAACTTTCAGATTCAGTTAGCAAACAGTCAATTAGGAGTGTTCAAGTCATTACAGAACATGAGCCCACTGGGCATGGGGCTCCAGCAAAGTCTTGGAAACACGGATTAATACATAATATTAGACAAGACAAACTGTTTCTTCAGCCTAACAAACCAGGACTGGAAGGGAAAAGCAGTCGAAAAATACATCTAGGAACACAGGTCCCTGAGAAGAGTAATGGTACTCCTGCAACGGGGAGATTAGGATGGTAAGAAATGTTTGAAAAGATGTGGGTCAGTTTAGGCTGCCAGTAAAAAGAAAGTTCCCAACAAATACAGCTGCTAGATCTGTGCAGCAGCAGAATTAGGGGACAAACAACCCAGCTGTGTTCCTGAGGGAGTTTGCTAAGTTAATGAGTGAACTTACATAATGTGAGGTCCTCTGACAGCAAGAGATGGCTATTTCTTCTCAAAGCAAGAGAACAGGGAACAAACAGTCCTATATAAACTAAGTTTAACACCAGGTACTTTTCTGAAGACATAGTCTTCATCTGTTCTACCTCAACATTTACCAGTTTCTTTTTTCTTACTACAAGCTCAAGACCAAAGCTCTGACACCAGCTTTGGAACTCCAAATATGATGCACTGCTGTGGAAGGAATCACCAGATGGGACTGAAACTATTGACACTAAATCTTGAATTTTTCAAACTCTTCTTTCTTTTTAACCAAGACTCGGTCTTTCTGCATAAATCATATATCCTTAGCCTTTTAATGAAGTACAATGCAGTAGTTTGCTAGAATGCTTCCTAGTTGCTTCCTAGAATGCAGTAGTTTGATTTCTATACTCCCTAATAAGAGAAAATTGCTTGCTTAAACCAGTGTGCAGATGTTCTGGCTGTGATTATGGGAAGAAGGACTGCCTGAAAAACAAAGATTAAGAACTGTGTTAGAATAGAAACAAATGGTGATAAGACATCTGTCAAACATACTTGTGACCACTTTCTGTGAAAAGCAATTCAATAGTATATAAAACAAGCAAACAGCTAGAAGCCTCCCAGGCTACATATAAATGAATTCTTCTCTATCAAAAAGATGATGTGTCACAACTTGACACCTCCCAGTCAACAGCTTTGCTATTTCATAAGATAGTGACAAAAGTTGGTGCTCTGAGTACATTTCCTAAGTAGAAAGTTCTTCAGAGATATATCTCATCTAACAGAAGATGGTGACTATTTTTAATTTTCTTTTGCTTTCCCGCCATTCCAAAAACAGGATATATGTTGGATAAATTCTGACTAGAAAACTATTAAATTACTGAATCTACATACTAAAAGCATTACTATCTCATGTTTAGAAATAACTTAAGCTATTAGATGCTGTGGTCTCATTGAAATGTTCGGACCACTTCTAGAAAAGGATAAAGCAAATAGATCTTGTGCACCTTTATCATGTACATTTTTCTAAGCATATTATCCTACGCAAAAGTTGATCTAATACTAAATAAACTGTTCAATGGGGAAGAACAAGACAATTTTACTCTTTTTTTCATGTCATTATGGAAACCCCCATTCTTTCTCAAATATATACTCTATTGAAAATATTGTTCTTACCATGATAATGTTGATATTTAGATATGTATCTCTTTTTATTGTATCATTATGATTTATGTCACTTTCAGTTTAATTTTGAATAGTCAGTCTAATTATTATTTACAAATGTTGATTAATTAAGTTTTTGAAAATATTTATCCTCACAAATAAATTGGGGTTTTTCCCCCCCTCCCTAAGTGGCCTGCATGTATCTGTGTGCAAAACTGAAATAAAACCTTTTCTGTTTATTTACATCAGAAGAAGAATATGCATCAAATTATTCTTTGGACTTTTTAAAGACTGGTGTAAAAGATGGATGTCTAGTTTCCTACTTTCAGTTCTAAACCAGTTTGACAAGCAATTTATCTGTGACTGCTTCAGATCAGAAAAGCTGAAAATATTGTAGTTGCCTGAGCCAGCACAAGCCCCAGGAGGACACGTGTTCTGTTTGATGTATCCAAGGAGAGGTCAGTTTTCTCTGCCAGTCACACAGCAAATGGGAAGTCTCCAGCGGTAAGTCAGGGACTGTCTGTGAGCAAGACAGGCTGCTCCTGCAAATCTGGTTATGCCAGATCCTCTGTAGTACTCCTCACCAACAGCAAGGCTGGTAGCTCTTCAGCTGCGGCACTCTAAACTTAAATTGTGCTCTAATTGGTCTTCTCCAAAGGAAATGCATACAGTGAGGTTATTAAAGTATGGGAAAGCCCATGGTAAGTGGGAGGAGGGTGAGAAAAAATTAGGAAAAATAAAAGAGGTAGTCAAAAGCATAAATAGCATCACTAAAGGCAGCTGGCAGCCTTTTCAATCTCCCTGCCCCAAATATCTTGCAAGCAAATAAATTGTTCTGTATGCATACATCTCTTTCCAAAAGGTCTGTCTTTGGGAAGAATTCAATGTGCCTATACACAAAATGGTATCCATGCTTTGGATCAAAGCTATAAATTTCCATAGTTTTAAACAGAATTTTTTTCTCAGACTTCCAGGTGGAACAAACACTCATAGCCTCAAATCCATTTAAAATATCAGAGGAGCAGTTAGGGTTTTATTAGTTTTTAATGTGTTTTACTGTCTGTAATCTTAAATTGTTTTGTCAACTTTTGTAATTCTCATGGTGTTATACACAATTCTGACTGTTCTTGAATGGATGATGAATGCACAGATGCACACAAGCATGCAAATCCTCTCTATGGATTTAGGACCAAAAAAGATCCTCTTCTAGAGCTGGTGAAGATGCACTTAAAGGTGATTCTGCACCTTTCTTTAAGAGCTCCAGAGGGAAGCTTTAAAAAGCAAACCCCATTTGATAAACCAAAACCTAATTAATTCCATCCTGAGACCACAGGTATTCCTACTGTGTATTAGAAGTGAAATTCTGAAGAAATATTGTGAGATCTTCCTTTAATATACACCCCAATAGCCCATCACAGTCTTATTCCTTCCCCAGTGGTTGAATTTTCTCTGTCAGTGGTGGTCTTCTAAATCTCCTGGGTATTTTTTCCCTCCTAGCAGTTCTCCTGACACTCCCTTTGGAACTGACGTGTTCATTCTCCTAATTGAAATGTTTTGATTCCACTCTTAAGACATTTTTCAGATGGGCTTTGGGATTGATGGGATGTATCAAATCGTTGATAGAATGAAAATTTGTGTCATTCAGTGAAATGTTACAATTTCTCTTCAATTTTATCATTTAACCTTACCGTGATCCCTTGCCAGTGGGCTTGAGGTGAACAGTGTCACCTCTTCCTCAATTAACTACTCTCACTGCATTAATTGGGCTTTAGATCTCCTATGAGAAGTCAAAGGTTGCTATAACAAGTTGAAAGCCATTCTTTAACACAAATACCAAGACAAAGATATTATTCTGTATGTGAGTGCCTCCCCTGTCAATGCTAGGTTTTTCTACAATATACACAAAATTCAGCATGCTTCTTAGACTGTCACTATTTGCTAACCCTCAAGGGAAGCTACCATGGTATTATTGAATTATCACAATGTGTGTGTGTGTCTGTGTGTGTGTGTGTATAGATATACATATATATGGTTTCCTAATCAGTGTCTCTGTTTTTCTTCTCCATCTTCATGTAGCAGAGAAAATACGGGTTCCAGATTCTGCAGTTTTACATGGAGAACAAAATATCAGGAATATCAGGAAGATAATACATTGGGCATGGAAGACAAGTTCTTCCATCAGATGCTTTATTGGTAAACTGGAAATAAAAAGTAATTAAAAGAAAAATTTAGGAAAAAATTATTTCTGGAATTGTGTATTCAAAAGTTTGATTACTCCAATTTTTGTTACTTTAAATTGAGTGAATTACATACATTTAAAAAGAATTATGTGTATAAAGACCATATGTAGCTTTGTTGGGTTTTTTTCACTTATTTTTTAATGATTGCATCTCACAAAAATACTAACATTATTCAAACTACACTGAGGAAGATTTCTAAGAATGTATTATAGCATGTCTCTTAGTATCTTTCAAGTATTTACAAAGATGTTTTTGCTTTCAGATGTTCATAGTATGATAGGAATTGGGGGTGGAAAACAACTTTTCAAGAGAAGACTTCAAAATCGTGTCTTTTGTGAAAATAGAACTTTTGTGAAACACTCATTGGCTTAGGCTAAAATAGATTCTGTCAAGGCTAGATAGAAATAGCAATATTAGCACCTGATCTGTGAAAGCTGGTTTTCATTTGACATGTAGTTGCCAATATTCAAAAAATATTCCAAATTGGAGGGCTACATATTTATGAGAACCAGTCTCCATAAATCTCAGATTTTATCATGTTAGAAGTTTCTTTCTAAATGAGAACAGTAAACTTGTAAGTGAAACTTGCAAATCAGTTTTATCACTGTCTATGTGTGCATATGTATGTTTTATAAATATACTTGAAATTCAAAATTGAACTTGTAAGTAGGTCTGATAAGTTTTTCTACTTTCTGCATCAGTGCTGTGAATCAAACAGCTGCAAATTTTCACTTCCATGGTCATCTACCACAATAGAAAGCTACAGAAAAGGAGACTGTAGGTTTATTTAGCTGTCTTTCTAAAATAATATAGCATAAATCAGTTAAAAATATTCTCTTCCCCTATTACTTCAGTACAGACAGCACTTACAGGAACCTCTGTTTTTCCAGGTAGCTGTAGCACTGATTTAAACCAGTAATAGCTTGCCATGATAATAAAATGATTTATTGTCTGCATATTCTGTAAATTACATTCATTCTGAAAAAATAGTAAACTGTCTTCAGGTCTATTTTATATATAAGCAATAGTTTTATCATCAAAGCTACAGACAATTAAATATAGAATAACTGATGACTTTAGGCATCAAACAAGTCAAGAGATTGCAATCTTTTAAGTGCTTTGTCAGCTCTAGAGCATCTGAAACACAACTGAAAATAAAGGAGATATTTCTGGTTTTAGCATAATTTATATGTTGTGCAATTTTAAAATGTGAACCAGAAGTAAAGGTACTACTGGAGGTCAAAACATTTTTAATTCCTATTAATTTTTTTCTAATTGCCTGGTAAACTGCTAGAAAAGCATTCACTTTTGCTGGGCAATAACCTTCAGCAATCTTTTAAAGCAGTTTTACACACTTTGGACATTCTTCCCCTCATGTTGCATGTTCTTTATGAGGCTATCTAGAAATGTTTCCTTACTATTACATTTGTCTGAAGTTGTAACACACCTAAAATAAGCCAATTAATTAGTCATGATGGGCTCTTTTCAGCTGCACACTCATTTTCAAATGAATTTATTGAAGTAAAGATTTACAGCATATGGACTCACAGACTTCTCATGAGTTAAACTGGCATCCATATGTACAGCTTTCAGTAGGGAATGCTAGAGTAATATTTACAATGTAAATATCAACTTTTATTACGTAAGAAACAAATATATCACAACTTTCACTTCACAACATATTTGTTCTGGTTTGATGACTAAAGTCATCTCTTTGAAATACTATGTGGAACTCAAAAATAGCTTGTTCTTGTCATAGACTTTACCAGGTGTCCTTCAGAGGTCCTGAAAAGCAAAGGAGAGATGTGCTTTAGAAGTCACTTTTGCAAGCAATTGCATCATGAGGTGTATGAGGGCAGAGAGCAGGCATTGAGTAACACTTCATACAAAACAATTGCTGTGCTTGGGACTGACAAATGGAGAAGTGGCTGCTCACAGGAGTTTGCTGGGCATTACACTCAGACCAGACCATGGGATGAGTTGCAGCAGATTAGCCTACAGCACAGAACTGCTCACTTTGAAAAAACCTGTATCCTTGAAATAGATGCACAAATTCGGATTGCTCATTCCTACATTAGCAACTGGGCACTGCAATAAAATGACAAGTAACAGATTCACCTACAGGCAGACCTGCCTCCTCAGTAAAGTCAATAAAAATGGAAAGGACTGAAAATGTTTTCAGGAAGATATCAGTGACCTGCTGGACCACTACTCTTTCTCCCTTAGTTAATGCCATAATTTTGAGAAGGTGCAAAATACAAGAGCAGCTATTTTTTACATTAATCTTGTCCAGAAAGAGCATTTCTTTCCAGAATCATGTTGCTTACAAATTACATAATTCCTCAATGCATAAGAAGCTTATGTCCTTTCTAACGTTCAGGAACTTTAGAGGAATTACCACACTTGTGGAAAAGAACATTTTCTCATTTTATTTCAGCCTTGCAAGGAAACAATGTATTTTCTGGGGCAGCGGGATGGGCGGATGGGGATGATACAAGAAAAGACATTTCTCCAAATTCTATCTTCAAGAATAGCCTTTTAATCTTTTAGCTTACTTTTTTGGATACACCTGAATGCCAAAAACTATCCCATCATCAACTTTATAATACATTTTCAACAATACCAAATTTGCTTCTACCCTACTTTTTCAATATTATATTCCTGCAAGTGTTGATGTTTCAGTAAACCAAAGGGAAAATAATTGTGAATGACTTTAGAAAAAATAGCAGTGGCTATATGGGAAACAGTAACTGCAAGATTTGCACGTCAAGTATTTTCTTAATGCATGAGGTTCATCTTGCTGATGCTCTTAGTTCTAGGGGTAATTTCTTTCTAATCAAAAAGACGTTAACCAAAATCTGCAGCATTTTTTTTAATTAAAAGAAATATCCTCAAGTTTGTTCTCTGAAGAAATAATGATCTTTGTAATTAAAAATTAGTCACTTCTGATTTCATGCTGTACTGCACACTGGGTGAAACACCCAAGTGAGTTAGGTGCATTATGAACAGTGCCATTTAATTAGGAATTTTCAATAGCAGCGATCATGTGATAAAATAAAGCTTATTATTAAAATTATTATTTTATTCTGACACAATGAGTGAATAAACATTAGAAACGTAAAGCTTTTCATGGAAAATTACTCCCTTTCCTAGAATATCCTGATTTTCTGATAGGCGATACTCCACATACAATTAATGTCACTTTATGGGTAACAGATAGCAAGAAAAAAGACGATTTTGGCATCTTACCAGTGGGAGGTGGCTCAGCAGCTCATCTACAGCATCGTAGTTTTCTGAAAAGGATGGTTCAAGATGTTCTGCTTCATCTCGAAGTTTAGCAGGATTTAGCTCTTCCTGGCTGTTGTGAATCAGAAAAAAAATTTAATTGCTCTCAGAAGAAAAAGCAAAGAAAGTAAAGCGTTCTTCTAACTGTAGCTTCTGCACGTTTCCTTACACTTAAACCAAAGTGTTACAGAACTTATGAAATAGCATGTTTAATGAATAATGAGACATGATATTTAAAAGCAGTTGTCTAAATGAGTGAATATACAAACACAATACAAGGTCTACAAACATGTATGCTGGCATGTCTCACCTATACTGATTAGGACATATAGTCCTCAGTAATCCCTCAGGGATTTTCAAATTTTTATTCCACGTGTTCACAGAGAGGCAAATTTTCAACATATTTCTTTATAAAATTGTTCATGTTCCATAGCTCTGTGGGTTTTTTCCTTAAGAAGATTTTTTTCTAAATAAAAACTATTTAAGTTGGAAGATTTTTTAAATTGCCAGATGTCATCTCCTCTTTATTCTTCTATTCCAATTGTAGTGTCTGTTCCAGTCATGGAAGAAATGTCTGTATTTGAAAACCATGTCAGAAACTATGCTATGATATTAATGCTCAGTGCCTTTTGCATGTCCTCTCTGTATACATACATGGATGTAAACCTTTTCTGTCTTAATGCCATAGAAGTATGGAAAGAACACACATGTGCTTTCTTGTAGTACCTTCTTTTTCCAGTTAAAACTGAGTTTAAGTATTTCTTCACAGCCATCTGCTTTCGAAAGCGGCTGTAGTTGTCAGTGAAGACAGCATCAGAGTGGCGTTTGACAGGACTGTCCTGGGAGCTGGCAATAAACAATTACAGAGGAAAAGTTAAGAGACAATATCTGTTTAAAAAAAATACCATTAAATTAGTGAAATAAGCTTTATGCTATTGATTAGCCTAATAAAATCAAATTGTCATTTCAGCTTTCATTTTCATCCATGACTTTGGATATTTCTTCTGCTGAAAAGAAGCCACTGCTTCCACTGCTTACTATGTATTCTAATAACAAGGATCAAATCCCAAAGATTGTTATTCAGCCTTTTAGGGAACACCCTTCACCGATTGTTTTCTCATCTCAGTTTTGCCTGGCCTATGCAATTAAGATACATAGTCAATGATTTCTGGAGTCCTTGTCCCAGGAGTTCTGCAAGATCAAGTGTTTAAGTGTGGATTTCATTACTCCTGCTTGTTCTCACACCCCAGGTTGCACCTTTGAATAAACAGATTTTATTCTGATTTCTATAATTTGCATGAATATATTTCAGTACAATGCCAAGGTACAGGCTGGTTTAAGTTGCAATAAGCTCTTAAAGGACCTCATCACTGTTCAGAGTGAACTCAGTGGAGGTGGAGTCTGCCTCTGACGAAATTTAAGAGTGCAGCATCACATAAGTAGCTGTAAATGCTTGTTCTAAGGTTGCAGAAGACAAAACACACCTTGTGAAAGCCAAACCTGGAGGTCTTTTCTTCGTGCACAATATTGGGAAATGGCAGGTGTTCTATTTTAAATAGTCCATTTTAGTTTACAGCATATGAGAAACTGGAACTGCATGTTCTGGATCAAAGGCAGCACTGACATAAATGGAGGACTTAATTTTTACTCAGCTTTTCAGCATATGAAGTAGGCACTCAGTGGTATCGTCACAGTGCCTCACAGCTGCTGCTTATGGATTTGAAAACAAGGGAAGTATACCGTGATCCTACCCAAGAACCCTGTGCTCATCAGTTTATTAATGTATTGATTTGGAAGTTGCATCCAGACCCCTAGTCTATGAATTTGCCTCATTCTTTTTTTTGAATTCTGCTGCAATACAGATCTCACAAACATCTGCCAATGTGTTTTCTAGCAGGAAAAAGCTATACCTTTACATTTTCATTATAAACCAATCATTTCTTGATTTCATTGTGTATTTCCCTATTGTTAAGTACTAAGTAATCAATCACTTTGTATTTACTTTTGCCACTCATCCACCAAGATAGTAAAAACACTACCAAAAAAAAAGAATTAGCAATTCGGCACAATAATCATGATAAGATTTCCAGTACACATTATCCTGCTTTGTGCAGTGTCCGTTGCTCTACCTCTCACAGCTGTGTCAGGAATAAATAGTAACATGCTCATTTAGTAATATCACTAAATACTTATATAGGATTTTCATCTCCCCCATAATTATATAAGCTTCTCTTTCAGTATCTCTGAATCACAAAAAGGAGACCTTGCATACAGAAGGGTAAAAAATTTGCCAATAAAGCCAGCTAGGAAAAAAAAATCTACCTAATGTAAGTGTCACCTCACCTAACTCGTTTTCTAATAAGCGAATGCAGATATCTCTTCACAGCAAGTTTAGCCAAAAGATGGCTGTAGACACTGGTGAAAATTCCATCAGCATGCCTTGCATTTCTGAAATGGACAATAAATAAACTCTACAATACAGTCTGGGCTCATATAATTTTGATAATGTTCATTTTGCAAATATACTGCTTTCCTTAGTTTAACTATTGTACATCTTAAAGGGAACTAATTTCATAAAATAACTTCCAGATTTTCACAATATACTTTTTACTCCTTCTTGGAAAGTGAATGCATTCATCATGCCAGAATGGCAATACAAGCAGCATTTCTGCCTACATCCCTACTGCTACCACTATTCAAGCAGCGGCTGTGGGATTTTCTTCTGTAATTGAGTCTTGCTTTCCTAATCCCAGTTTGATTTTTTTGCAGAAATCAAGCAGAAATCTATGATCTTTTGTATTTATGATAATAAAGAAACTCACCTATCAATAATTCTGGAGAGATCAAAATAGAATTTCTCATTTTCAGGTAGTGTGTTCTGCAAAATATCTGATTCTGACTTTAATGACCCACGGGCATGGTCAGGTTCACTGGCTCCATCAAATGGCATTCTGTTTCCCAATCTGTTGGAGAAAGAAACCGTGTAAAGTATAGAGCTAGCTGAGGACATGCGACACTTTACTAAAGATAACATTCTGGTTTGTGTCAAAATGTACATCTACCTACTTTCATTGGTTAGGCATTTAAAATAAATCTGGATAAATCAAAAATCACTTTTAGGTAGAATCCATGCTTAATTGTAGACTAATTGACATAACAGATCCTTCTCTCAAATTCATATTTTCTAGATAGATATTGTCACTGGATACAATTTATTCCAGTGCATAATGTATGACAATCACAACACAAGTGACAACTGTGAAGCTTTTCCTATCAACTGTATTTTGTATATATTATGGATGAAATTAACAGCCTCCACCCAAGCAAAGTGAAAACTGCTCCTGTGACGTACTTACTTCCCAGTTAAGATATAAAATGTAAATTGAAATGCAGAATGAAACAGTTCTTAGGCATTCTCCAAAGAAAGCAAATATACCAAGAACTTCAAACTAAATAAAAAGTGCAGTCATGTATCTCTACATGTTTTTAGTCTCTCCTGCTAGAAGCCAAAAAATCTTTTAATCTCTTCAAATGAATAATGGCAATTGCCCTGTATAAACTTGTGTACAGCGCACATTTTCGTAAACTGCAGCTTCTTATAAAGTGTCATATTTTATCAAGGACAGTCTGACTGCATAGCAGCAGTTTGGCATCATTCCTTGTGGCTGCTCTGATATTCTGTGGCAGACAAGGAAATCATTGTAGGAAACCCCTGTGCGTGATGACATGCAAAAGTCACATACTAAAACTAAGATAGACTTATGTGACTTAGTAATTTTAAAGTCACTTTTAGCACAATTTATATGTCTGATTCATATAAGTCTTCTGTCTGGTAAAAAAACGTGCAAAGTTGCTGGGTAAAACGAACCGGCTCAAGTCACACCTTTTGGAAGACCGTCACTGTGCTTTTTTGTCTGTTTTTCACTGGTCCTTCTACACTTTATGTTCCTCTTCCCTAAATGGCAAACCGTACCGTTCTGCCATCTGATTTCATTTAGCTGGACCACAAACAGCAACTTCAACCGGCCGAAGCATGCAGAGGTACAAAACCTGCCCTCCGCTCTGTCCCCGTGGACCCGTTCACGTCCCAGGGATTACCGGGGCCCACATCCCATCCGCCCCCCATCCGCACACCCCGCGGTCACCGCCACCCAGCCCGTGGGGCAGCGCTGCTGCAGCCGCCCCGGGAGGAGCGTGCGTGTCCCGGGGCCTCCGGCCGGGACCGCCTGACCGCAGCCTCGCCGCGGGGACCCGGCGCACCCGACGGCAAGCGCCGCGCTGCGCGCTCCTCGGGAGGGCGCAGCGGAGGAGAGGCGCTTCTCACAGCCGGGGCTGGGCAGGTCCCCGCGGGCGGAGGAGCGCGGCGGAGCGCGGCGGAGCGCGGCGGAGCGCGGAGCGCGGAGCGCGGCCTTACCGCGGGACGGGAGGGAAGGCGGCGCCCCGCGGGGGCAGCGCCCGCGCCCGCCAGCAGAGGGCGCTGAGGAGGGCGAGGGCGAGGAGGAGCGGGGAGGCGCCGCGGTGCTCCATGGCCGCCACCTGCGGAGGGAAGAGCGCAGCCGTCACCCTCCGACCCGGCCCGCCCGCACCCGCTGGCCCCGCGCCGGGGCACCGGGACTTCGCCTCGGGCCGCCGAGCGACCGCCCCGGTCCCGCTCCCAACTCCGGACCCCGTCCCGAAAGACGCCGCCGGCCAGCAGGGTCGCGATGGCGGGGGAGCTGCCCGCGGCCAGGGAGAGCTGGCATTTCCGAAGGCGACCCCCGGCCCGGTGCGAGGGGCAGCGGTGCCCGGGGCTCAGCGACTTAAGCGGTAACAAGAGAGGGTCCCGCCCCGGCTGCCCTGGGCATTCAGAATCTCTCCCCGCTCCCCGACGGCCGGGATGGCTTCCCTGCAGGTCCGGGAGGAGCGAAGTGGAGCGAGGGTACGGGAGGGGACATCCTTCTTCATGCGCTGGGAAGTTGCCGCTGTGGCGGGGAGAAAGTTACTCACGGAGCCGCGAGTCCGTCGGTGGGTCTGGCTGGGCGGGCGCGGAGCGGAGCGGTGCTGGGGCAGTGAGCCCTGCTCCGCTGCGCGGCTGCCGGGGCGGCGGCAGCAGAGGGTGAGGAGGAGGAGGAGGATGAAGAGGAGGGCTCCGTCTCGCCGCACGCTCTGAGCTGCCCGCCGCGCCACCGCGTTTTATAGCGTTTACACGTTTCTGCTTCCGAAGAAGCAATCACGTTACTGGAGAGACGTCACCCATCCCAAGGGGACGGTCGCTTTGCTCAGGACAGTCAGAGACTTATATTTAACACATGAGCGGTCGCGTACCTCCTTCCCCTCCCCCTCACCCCCTCGGCCATTATTTGATTTATGTTAATGACATAGTTTTGGAGGAGCGGAGCCCCGTCGGAGGGATGATTCCGCCTCTCCAGGCGGGAGAGCAGGCGGCCGTCGGGGTCTGCTGGCACGCCGCACCGCGCATCCCTGCCCGCACCCGGGATAGCTGGAGCGAAGGCGGCTGCACTCTCTGGGACCTCCGCCCCCAGCCCGCACTCCTCCAGCCCCCGTGCTTCCCTGAGGAGCCCCTTCCGCGCCGCGGGGTTGCTCCCTTCCCTAGCTCTTGGGCTTTCCGTGCTAATTCCTCTCCGTCCCCGGCACATGCAAGTCCCTGACGGGGGTTCCCGCCGGATGTGCGCGGGGAAGTGGTCTGAAAAAATTCCACTGCGGGTTTTAGTTTGATTTTAGCAGGTGTCGGGGTGTTTTCTACTCTATTTTGTTTAAACTGCGTGCATGTTCGTGGAACACTGATTAACCCGCACATCCAAGGGCCTCTTGGTGTAGCCAAGCACAGCGGGAGCTTGTGACGGTTCCGCGGATCCCAGCGCCGGGACGCGCTGCACGGGCGCGCAGGGAGCGAGGCTGGAGCGTATGTTAAACCCCCTGAGCAGGAGGGGCATCAGCTCTTCCTTCTAAAGTGTCTTAAGCCCAAACCTCGGGGATGCCACAGCACGGGAGAATCGGTTTCAAGCCTTTGATTTTTTTCCCTTCAAAAGTTCCCTGCCTCAGAGAGATCTGTGGGCGGCAGAGAAAGAAACACAGGGGAAGTGGGCGTGGGACCCGCGGGCGGGCCAGCAGGACGGCGCTGCTCCAGCAAGCACCTCTTCAGTATAGCACCGTGTCTATTCGGTGCCTGCCCTGAAGTATTTGCCAAACAATCGCGGAAGAATTTCAGCTGTAAAGATCATCACCATCCTCCTTTTTTTTCTTTTTCTTTTTCTTTTTTTTTCTTTTTTTCTTTTTTCTTGAGCTTTTGTGCCTTCAATCCTCCTACTCAATCGGTAACGATTGTGCCAAATCCATACAGACGATTTCACCATTTTTTCTTACTTCTAATAAGTTTTTCTGTTTCATGTTTCACTAAAGGTTAGGCAGGCTCAATGCCGAAGACTCTGCGATGCTTAATCACATTTTCTAATTCAGTTACATAAAGAATAAGTGAATTAGATTAAAAATGCCTGGAAATTTGTTTCTCGGATGACAGCTGTGACTAAAACCAGAGTTCCTGCAGTAGTCTAATTTCAGGAAATTTTCCCCTTGTTACTACATAACTAGGGGTCGAAGGAGCTAGTCTGGCGGGATGAGCATCCATTGATGCACCGTATTCCCCTCACCTCGGAAATATCCCGGCTAGGGCCCCAGGTTGTGCCGTGTGCACGACCTGGGGGAGTGCGATGGTCTTCACTGAACTAGGAGTTCAGTGCAAGAGGAGAGGGGAAGGAGAAAGCCATCTCCTGGGTGGCGTAGGGACGCGTGGCTGGGGCGCTGCCAAGTCTGCGGTTGCCCGGTCTCCTGGCCTGGAGCGGCGAGCGACGAGGGGATGCTGCACTGGGGACCCCGCGGCCAGGGCGGGTTCGGGGGGCCGCGGCTGCCCCCGCTCCCGGTCCACAGCCCCAGTTCCCAGCCCCTCTCCTCCTCCTCAGTCCCCTCCCGCCGGGGGCGCCGCTGCGGGAAAAGCCAAACGCTGCTGGCAGCAGGGAGCGAAGAAAAAAGTTTCCTTCTAGCGCTAGCAAGTATGAGCTAGCGCAGCCTGTAGAGGGGGTCTCGCAGGAGTGCTGCGGACTGCGGTCCCTGCCAGGGAAGAGGGGAACAGCCAACTTAGTCCAAGGGATACGTGAAAAACAGGTCTGCTGTCAGTTGCTGTCTATGTGCGGTATGGGTGGCTGCGTGCTCTGAGGAGATGTATATAGGCTAAAAATTGGAGAATCACTGACAAATCAGGGCTTTCTTACCATGCTGAACCATTTGGGGCTGTGATGTACCGCACTGCACCGTCCCATACCGTACCGTGGTTTGCTGTAACTTTGTTTCCTTTCTTTTCAGGTTGGACAACATGCCTAAAGCGGCCTCAGAACCTATCTAGGGATGACAGTGTTGATAAGGAAACCTCTCCAGGGCTTCCTTAACGATCTGAGAAACCTGTAGTGCATCTAATCTTACAAAACCACCTATTTTCCCTATTCTATAGACAAGAAACCGAGCCATAGGAGATCAAGTGGTTCCTCTTGTTGACTCAGGAAGTCTCCAGTGGAGCTTTGAATTGACCCCAAATGCCCCAAACACTCTTCAGTTGCACTAACACTGCCTGCATTTCCCTTCAGCATCCTGTTGCAAGCCACCATCTCCTCTTAAAGACAAACTGAAGAAGAAATGCCACCTCCTCCTTTCCCTCTTCCTTTCTCCTTGGTCCTTCCTCACATTTCTCGAGAGGATTTTCAAGGAGATTGGTTTGGGGTGACTAGCAAGGGTTTGGGAAGGCAATCCAAAATCTATGTTTTACAACTTTTCACCCCCAAAGCTTACATATGCTATTTCCACATTTGAGTAAGTTTTAATAAGAGTAAGTCATTAAAAGAAAAAGAATTCTTTAGAAACAGACAGATGGAGAAAAGACCCTTTTTCACTGACATCCTAAGTGAGTCCTCTAAAATCTAGGCAGATTAACCCTTTTCAGATGGTAGCGCCCACTGTGTTGTACTGGAAAATCTGCGCCTTTTCAGGAAAGTGCCACTTGGGAGAAAATAGTGCTTGGGAGCTTCTCCAGGATAATAATTAAACACAGGCAACTCCTGGAAAATCAAGTATTTTTCAGTGTTTTTACAGGAATCCTGGTGCACAGCACCCTCACATTCACTGAACCTTTTACCTTTATTTTATGTGTTATCAAATATCTTTTGGTTTCTCTCCATTTTTGCTTCAATTTCTTCTTTAATGTTCCACTTGATAAGCCAAAAAAAAAAAAAGGCAAAAAAGTTACAATTATATTAAAATTTAAAAAGTTACAATTATAAAATTGCAATATTTAGGAATGAGAATTATGGGAAAACAGTTAGATAAGATGGACCAAAAAGCAAAAATTTTCTGAATGGTTGTCTTACCATTTGTATACACACCTGTGCAATGTACAAAAATCAAGTAATAACATATAGCTAAATCATCTGGAGTAAGAAAATTGGGAGTTTTAAGGTTTGTTAGTTAGATTTGCTTACTATTTTTAGCATGTAAATCTGTTCTGAAATTGATGGGCTAAAAATCTCTTAAAGCCAATTCCTTAGATGAGAGAAATCTGCTTAGTTCCATGAAGGACCTGCTTAGCATTTACCAAATTTATCATGTAATTGTATTTTAAAAAGAGAACTACATCAGAAATAGAATTAACTTTTTTTTTTTTTTTTTAAAAAAAAAAAAAAAAAGATAAAAATACTAAGAGACTTGTTTTAGGACTTTCTTATTCTATCAGAAAAGGAAACTTCTACTGACTCATGAGCTCTTTCTTACGAATCATTGGGTTAGCAGAATGTCCCTTGTGCATTACAGCTCATGTTGCTGTGGATGAGTTGAGAATTTCTGCCTTTGATCCCATAGCCATAGCACATTGATCCATGAGTTTTTAGAGCTTACAGAGCAGATTGATAGTCAGCAGCTAACAGAACAGATTTTTCAACTTTCACAAAAGAGATAACAGATGAAAATTCAAGAAACTCTATATGAAGAAAAAAAAATACAACTAAAAATTGATAATCTAACCTGCCCTTCTCTAATCAGACTGTGGGAGGGTCACGCAGGTGGAACAGGGGAGCCTTCATTTCCTCTCTCACCCTCTTTGAGTCATGCTTTCAGGTCAAAAGTGTGGATCCTCAGAGCAAAGTTATCAACTGAAGCACACTTCCACAACATGTAAATTGTATTAACAGACATGATACTATCTACACCACTTGAACAAGTTCCTCCTGTTCCTGGTGGTACCTTTGCATTATTAATCTGTGGGGGTTAACAATTTTAAAAACCAGCTTTCAAAAACCACTGGAACATTTGGATTATGCCCATGACTCCCAGACTTCCACCGCTTGCATTCATATGTCTGGGGATGTCACCAGCATCCATGTCAGAGACCTGCTTGATTAAAACTTCTGAGTAGGTGTAATGATGAGCAAAAGGCATGCAAGAGAGCTGCTGATTCCTGTGATACTTCCAAGGTTCTTTCCCCCTTGCCTGGGATGTTATCTGGGAAAGCTCGTAATGCTTCTAGTATAGTTCTGTGTTTTCATATCCCTGCTCCTTCACCCCAAAATGCAGTTTCAGCTTCTCTAAAAGACTCCAGAGCAGTTTGGGATAGATATTTCTTTCTCCATATATTTGTATGTGTTTCTCTAGTATGTGTGTGGACTACTACTTCATGTCCATCTGTTTCATGATATACAACTGTCCTAAAAGTGTCGGTCCAAATTCCTTTCATTCTTTAGTATGGATGTGATGTTTTTGCCATTCCCCTCTCACTATCAGACACATGTATTCTGCACTCATACCACAGGAGGATCTGTGACTATGCAAGCTTTAACAGGAGCTTTAATAGATCTGACTTTCTTTCAAAACAGTTTCCTTCTAATGTTTCACCTACTTTTACCTTAAAGCCCAGAAAACCACATGGTAATCCAAAGTTTGTCAGAAAGAAAAGTAGTTTCTGATTTGGTTGTGTTGTATTCTTTATTTTTAACAAGATCTGAAATATGCCCTATATCTACCAGTACAGTTATAATCTTCAAGCTTCAGCTAAGGATCAGATGATTCTTTTATCACCAGATATGTTTCCTTCCTCCTGCAGCACCTCCAACCCAATCCTCTTCTTGTCAAATCTAAAATGACCTCTGT